CAAAAGAGGACGATATCTGCTTCGTCATGCCTGGAGCTGATCTGTGCTGGTTGCTGAGGAAATACAACAACTTCGCACTGTGGATCGCCGGATCGGCTTTCACCGTGGACGAAGCGGAGCCCAGCCCAGGGTCGTCACATGTGGTTGCCGCAAGCCCACGCTCCTTAGTCGAATCCGCCGCCTCTGCTCACTCAGCACGCCGGCCGTTCCTCACTTTATCCCCCGGTCTCTGCTCACTCAGCCGAAAATAATGTGTTTTTTTAACCTTAAACCGCATAAACACATTTCATTACACCAAATACAGTAAATAATGTTCTTTTTAGCAGCAACATATGACCCCTTTAAACTGTGAGGGAATATTTAGATCAGGTGGTGTCTGGTTATTTGTTAATCTAGCCACTGTGCTAAATAAAAGCCTTGGATTGTTTTGGTTATTTTCTATAAGTTTGCGAATATGCTCGGCTCTGGCAGCTTTTAGAGCCTGTCTATAGCTGGACATACTGTTTTTCCATGCAATTTTAAAAACTTAGTTAGTTTAAAAGTTAGTTTTTCTCCATTTGCACTCAAGATTGCGAGTTTCTTTCTTGAGAGAATGGGTATTACTGTTGTACCATGGCGCAGTATGTTTTTCTCTAACCTTTTTCAATTTGATGGCGACAACAGCTTCTAATGTATTAGAGAAGATAGTGCCCATGTTGCTAGTCATTTCGTCTAGTTCATGTGTATTTATGGGTACACAGACCAGTTGAGATAAATCAGGCAGGTTATTTCTGAATCTATCTTTAGTGGTTGGAACAATAGTTCTTCCTGGATGATAACGCAGAGCCATATATTTAATATCAGTAATACGCAGCATGCATGATACAAGGAAATGGCCAGTAACATCATCACTTTGAGGTACGATATCTTTATCAGTAAGATCGATTCCATGCGATATAATTTAATCTAGCATATGATTAAAACGATGAGTGGGCCTGGTGACCTTTTGCTTGACTCCAAAAGAGTTTATTAGCTCAGTAAATGCAAGTTATAATGCATCATTTAAATAATGTATCTCATAACCTTGTACTTCAGTTACATCTGATCAAATGCACATTAACATTTTTTTGCTTAGTTGGAACAGCAGCTACGCTAATTTTTCTCTATTTCCTTCTCTGTTTCTGTAACTAGGAATTACACAAGCTTCAGTCTGGATCTAGCCCTTACAAAGATCTGAGATGACCGAACACCCGAGAAGAGATGATGCCAATCCCTCAGAAGACCTCAGATGATGCCAACCCTCAGACAACATACAAAACTACCAAATTTGCTACAAGTTTGATCGCAACATAAGCATTGCTGTTAATAGTGTTCACCGTCTGTTTGATTACATGACATTAACTAACTGCTTGATTTTTACCTTACATTTCTGCTATATGGACATCAACTTGAGACAGTCACCACTGATAAGCTATTACTAAATATAATGTAGAAACTTAAATTTTCTGTAAAGCTGCTTTGCAACGTTTTGCATCGTAAGAAGCACTATACAAATAAACTTGAATTAAATTGAATTGAACTTAATCATAGATGCGTTTTTGGTTGGAGGCAGAATCTTTTCCAGATGCTGGAGGAAACCACTGCTTTCAGGATTTAGCACAAAATCTTTAC